GATCTGGGTTATGTTGGGCCTTGACGAGGACGTCAAGCTAATCGAGTTGGGGATAATGTAACATCCCATTAGTCCCACATCGGTAGTGGGCAATGTGTATGATTAGCTTATAAGGGCTTGATGAGTGTACTGTGTTAACTCCCACTTAAGCATTTTGGCACGTGGTTGAAGGACCAAAATGGAGTTATTGGCCAGTTAGCTCATCAGACTCGGGTCGTGACATCTTGCTGGCAAAATTTCTTTTTTTTTTTTAGTCTCATCGCTCCTCAAAAACTTACCAAAGAAAACCTCTAGAACTCTCCAAATACAAATCTTAGTAGGTAAACAAGTTTACCTATATTATATCATATTAAGACTCTTAGACATCATATAGATTCAATACAGTTTTCTAGAGGTTAGCAACTATAACTAATGATATATATTTCGTTGCTCATGAGTGGGTTTAATTTTCTCATGTGTTTTAGTGAATTAAAAACACATGATCATCAATGAAGATATTATTTATAGAGTAAAAATAAAATGATTAAAATAGCAAGAGGCGTTATGAGTCTTGTGTGTTTATTGGATACTTTTGAGATTATAAATTTTTTTTTATAAAATAACTATGACACGAATAATGCTTTATGAATCTGAATATTGGATAGTTAAGAAATAATATATATAAAAAGATTATATTATCGAGATAAGAATATTGATATGGATGCATGGAGTTATTAGAAAAGATAGAAAAAGAAATAATTTTATTTATGAACAATTATATATCATTTTGATAAAAGATAAGATGAGATAAAATCGTTTAAAATGATATGGACATGTATTCGGGAGACCTTCGGATGTGATAGTCAGAAGAGGTAAAATGATTAATATTAATGATACGAGAAGAGATATCAGAGCCTGGTTCTTATAGAAATTATTTTTCTTCTTTCTTTTGACCTTAATTGTTTAAAATATTTTTCCTCTATTCGGCCACTCTCTGGATCATCCCCAACTATTTGTTTTTCCTTGTTTGCTTATAAGGAACATGTGCTATTATGTCTGGAGGAGAGAAAATGATATCTATCTCTAACAAACAACTTAGGTGACAATTCATCCTTGTTGATTACAACACATAAACTTAACAGAAAGAATTTTTTTCATTGATCTCAATTCTTAAAATTGTATGTTCGAGGAAGAGCAAAGATCGATTATTTGACCTGATCAATAACGACACCTGTAGAGCAAAAGGAGGATCCCAAGTTTAAAGTTTGGGATTATGAAAATTCCATGATCATATCATGATTGATAAACTTTATGGAATCAGAAATTAACTAAATATATATGTTTTTACCAACAGCAAAGGAGTCGTGGGATCCTATGGTTAAGACATATTCAGATATGGGGAACTCATCTCAAGTATTTAAGATTACAAACAAGATCGAAGAGCTTAAATAAGGTAATACTAGTGTTATAAAATACTTTAATACCTCGAAGACACTATGGTAAGAGCTTGATATTTTTTATGATTTTGGGTGATCATGTGCTATGACAGTGCTCGATACTTAAGAGAGATTGAGCCTTTTAATTTTTAGTAGTTTTAAACAAAGAATTAAATGAAATTCTTGGATGGATATTAGGAAATTCTTGGATGGATATTAGGAAAGGATTCATTATCATCTTTCCAAGCTATATATTCTCCGAAGTTAGGATGGTGGAAAGTAGTAGACAAGTCATGATAGGATCTTCCACTCCATCTATGATTGTAGAAAATTTTACAGTTGAAATTAATTCACCTGCTAATGCTGTGCAATGTAATCAAAGGAAAGGAGATGATAAAACCAAAGTATGGTGTGATTTTTGTAATAAACCAAGACATACAAAAGAAACTTCTTGGAAGATTCATGGAAAACCAACAAACTAGAAGAATAATTGAGTTCTAGATAAGGCTAATAGCCAAGGATTTCAAGTAGACAATCAATTCGTCATCACCTCTAAAGGAGCCAAAATGCCTCTGTTTATAATAAGGAACAAATTGAGCAACTGTTTAAGTTTCCAAACCAATCCCAAAATCCTAATCCTTCTCATCTATCATCTTGCTCTTTAGCCAAGAAACGTAATTGTTTCACAGTTTTGTTTACTTCTTTGGATCTTAAGGCTCATTGGATCATAGATTCAGGTGCAATAGATCATATGACTAGCCTTTAAACTTATTTTTCTTCTACACACCTTGTCTTGGAAACTCTAAAATAAAAGTTGTCGATGGATTATTTTCTTCTATAGCAGGAAAAGACATAATTATAATTTCAATTTTTTTTATTAAATTTTGTGCTTCTTGTTCCCAACTTACTAAAGAGAGAGAAGAAGTTTATTATTTTGAAGAGGACATTACTTGAAATACATAAGCTCAGTTGACAATAAATAGTAACACTACTACTAGAAGTGAAATAATATTGTGGCACTACAGACTACGCCACTTAAGCTTTCCTTATTTGTAAAAGTTTTTGCCTTTATTATGCAGAAATAATAATAGTTTTCTATTTCAATGTGATATTTTTCAATTTGCTAAATACCATCGTACTGTTTTTTCTTTCTTGACCTTACAAAACCTTTTAGTCTTATATATAGTGGCATTTGGGTCCTTCTAAAGTACAAATCTGTTTGAAATCAAGTGATTTAAAATATTTATTGATAACTATACAAAAGGGTTTACCTCTTAAAAGAAAATTCTAATGTTAAAAAAACTTTCAAGAACTTTCATGATCAAAAATCGATTTCAAGCAAAAATATAAGTTTTGAGAACTGACAATGATAAAGAATACTTTAATATCATTTTCGATTTTAGAGAATGAAATAATCTACGAATCTCCGAGCATTGATAGTCTCCGATAAAATGGTATTATAGAATAAAAAATATACACCTACTTAAAGCATGTTCTTTTTTATTTATCACTTATGTTGCTAAATATTTTTTGAGGAGATGTTATTCTTATTACTCCATATTTGATTAATCAAATATGAATATTTAATTTTTAAATACCTTTTTATCTTTATATTTAGTTGTCATTTTTACTTATGTTACTATATATGTCTTCCCTTATATATATAAAAATTATATTTATTTATGTTTAAAATTACTACTTAATGTTTGCACATCTTGGCTTATTGATGAGCGGATTGTACAATTTATGTTGTCAGGAGTGGCCTTACAGATGATCTCGGTGCTGAGGCTATGATGATGAAAGCTTTGGAGAAGTTGAGAATGTTATCCAAAAGCTGCTATTGAGGTCTGACGAGAAGAACATTGCTCTTCTCTGTTGAATTCGACATGATCAACACAAAGTAAGTGGAGAGGTTTCATTATCTTTAGCATGTAGTGGTGGCTATTTGTCTTGCACGAGCAGTTTTGTATCTTATCTGTTGATCCGGTATAATACTGCTAGCCCTTATTACTACTGCCATTAAATTTTATGGTGACTTACTGTGCCCTATTAAGAGATGCCACAATCATAGTTCCAATGGGATCATTTAACTTGATTCAGAGGATTATGGTTCATGCATCAATGAAGTTAAAAAGGTATTGCTAACCACTTAGTTCTGTGAGTTTTTCTGTGGATGTAACATCAATCTCAATTCTGTACTCAGACCAATATCATGTCCATTCTGAAGGCTGTTACATCCTCCAACCTATTTAAGCCAAAAGTTGGATGTTTACTCAATTTTTTCTATTTCTAAAATTTAATTAGGTTGGGCATTAAAATGGAGGACCTTTCCAAGCATGAAGAACAGTTGGATCTGAAGAAGGATGCTATGGAAGCAATGTAAACCCAACTTAAAGGGTATGTTTGTCTTATCCCCTCACTAGAGTCTATAATATATACAAGAAAGATGGGCTGGATGGATGGATGGCTGTGTATCACACTAATTGCTCATAACTCTTGCAGTGAGGAAGTCAAGGATGAGGAGATGGTTGATGTCAAACCATTAGATATTAGGAACTTCATCTAAGATTTTGCTAAAAATTGTATTGCCTAAACCCTAAAGGCTCAGTCTCTCTGCTTTCGAAAAATTTGAGTTGCTACAAATCTGCAATACTTTTACATTCACTCTGCTGATTGTATAAATAATAATAAGAAGCTGATTTTGCTAGTTATTAATGCTTTTGTAAATGCAACCGTCAGTAACATATGTATAGTTTTGGCAATTAAATTTCAATTGATTTTTTTAAGGAACAGTGTAGTAAATAGAAAGTGGTATTTTAAGAATTTAGAGTTTATTATATTTTATCAGATTCATTGCTGTCATGTATGTTTAGCAATGGTTAATACGTTCATTAGATGAATGCTAAGTAGTATGTATGTATGTATAATGTTAAAGTATATGGGAATTTTTATGTTATATAAAAAGCCAAAGTAAAATTTAATAATAATTGTTATTCATTTTAAAGTAAATTTCTTTGGTGGCCTTTTTGGGTAAATGTGTTTCGTCGTCTTGCAAATGCTCAATTACATGTCGCCATCACTCCACTAATGCCTAGCGTGCTTTAGACAGAAGGAAATGGTCGGCGGCAATAAGCGACGCTCCGCCGCTGCTACCACCTCCTCCTCTCCGCTGCCGCCGCCGTCCGCTGCTAAGAAGCGTAAGCCGCAGCCGACGCCTTTCACGTCCGAGGAGCTGATGCCGCTCTTACGCCTCCTCGCCTCCGCCATCTCCGGCCCCCTACGATTCCTCTCCTCCGCCGACCACCTCCTCCTCCCCTCCCAATCCCTTTCCCTCGACTCCTCCATCGAATCCGCCGCCTTCTCCCTCTCCGGACTCCTCTCCCTCCTCCCTCCCGATTCGTTCCCCCTCGATCCTCCCCCTCCCCACTCCCCTTGGTTTTCCCGCTTCGTCGCTGCCTTTCCCGCGGACGATCGCCGCTGGGTCGAGTCATTCCGCATGTCTAAGCTCTCCTTCGACGGCCTTCTCCAATCTCTGTCCCATTCCCTCCAATCCGACCCCTCCGCAGCCGCCGCCGTGCCCCCCGACGTCAAGCTCGGTGCCGCGTTGTTCCGCCTCGCCCACGCGGCCCCCTACCGCGCCGTCGCCTGGCGCTTCGGCCTTCCGTCGCCGGATGCTGCGTGCCGTGCCTTCTACGAGGTCTGCAAGGCCATCACCGACCGGCTTGTTTCCCTCTTCGAGCTATCCTCTGACCTTCGCCGCGTCGTCCGGGGATTCGAACAGCTGTCGCTCCCCAATTGCTGCGGCGTGCTTGGCTTTGCCCGATTCGCCGTGGAGGGCCCCTCCAGAGGAGGATCGGTGATCGCACAGGGTTTGGTCGATTCCGAAGGGAGGTTTCTCGACGTCTCCGTGGGATGGCATGGGTCGATGTTGCCGGCCCAGATCATAACCAGAACCAAGCTCTACAAAGCCCAGGCCTTGGTGCTGGGACTTGGTTCCCCGATGGAGCTCAATGGGGGTTCGGTGCCTCAGTATCTGTTGGGTGGCTCTTGCTGCCCTCTCCTCCCCCGGCTGCTGACACCATTCAGAGGGGTGGATTCGAGCTTGAATTCCTCTAAAGCTGCATCTTTTAACAATGTGCATGCTCGCGGCATGGAGTTGGTGTACAGATCTTTCGGAAAGCTTCGTGCGCGGTGGCAGCTGCTTCAGACAAGTTGGAAGAAGGAGTGTGCCGACGCCCTGCCCTATGTGATCGTAGCTAGCTGTTTGCTTCACAACTTCCTTGTTAAATGTGGTGAGCCCATGGATGATGAGATTGAGACGTCAATGGGAGAGCTAGATTTTCCAGATTTCGAGGGGAAGGGTGATGAGGATGGAGAGAGGATCAGGGAAATGCTTGCCTCGCACCTGAGCTTGGTAAGCAGTGAATGACATGCTATCTTGTTTATTATCATGTATTTTGTGGTGTTTGAATCCGTCTGGATTCTTAACACCAATTGCAACGTACTGTTGAAGTAACTTATGTGGCTTTATTAGCAACAATGCTGCATGACTTCATAGGTTACCAATCTGAGACTGATGAGGTAGATATGGGCCTTAACGATAGTTCTTCTCATGCTAAGTCTTCATTTTCTCATAAACTCAATTAGCAAATTTTTCTTCCTAAAGCACCATATTTGTAAATTTGCATATTGAATGTGTGTTCTCGGTCAAGTTTTTGTCAAAGGTTGGAATTTTTCCTCTGATTCCTATCATGTTTCTCGGTCAAGTACAAAAGCAGTCTTTGAAGTCCCAATTCCTCTCATTAGTGCTGATAAGTTAGGCTTTAGTTTTGTGCTCTGCTTTGTTAGGTGCTAATACTGTGGCAATGAAAATTTTGAAACAAATTTTCTCAAAGATGGCTTGGGACAAGAAGATAGTATTCTTATTTGCTTGGTTGCACTTTGTTTCATCTACAAAACAACCTCGAAATCAGGTTCTTTTTGCTGCTTTTTATGCTGAAGAGACGCTTAAGTGATAATTTGATATTTAATTTTTCTGTTAAAGAGAAAAAGTGAAATTCATTTAGGTGATTAAGTGCATCCTATGAGAACAGAAAATAAAAAGAGAAGGTAATTAAGTGTCATGTAGGTAGCAACTGGAAAGAGAACCCTATTGCTATGAGTACAGGGATTCAGATCAAATCTTCTTTTTTTTTCTTTTATTGAGTCAAATAAGGAGGTAAAGATGTGCCATTGTCCATGAGAAATACTATTTCCAAAATTGGTTCTATTTCTTCACAAATGCTTTCTCATTGCCTTTAACACAGCCAACTTACCTATTCTCAATCTCTGGATAATTATTTTACCATTCTAGATGAGAAACATGCATAGGTTTATCCTTCTGCTCCTTATGCTACAGTTCCAGTTAAAAAATGTTATGCTGAGGACATCATAAGATGATCATACAAGCCAACTAAATTTTGTAGATTGAACTACAAAGACTTGTCATGCTGTTGTGCTTTCAGTTCATTACTCTTGATAAAACAAACATTGTTTTATGCGGAACCTTCTGACTTTTCATTATTATCAAGATTTATGTGCTTTCCCTCTAACTATTATCCTTTTTATCCTATATTTTTTAGTACATAAACTATTTAATATCTTATGAACAGATGACTTATGAATTATGTAACTATTTATGTGATTTAATGATTCAGTTCTGAAGATGCAAATTAATGTAGCATGGATATCCAAATACTATGTTAATTCAGTAAGATTTTAGATTTTTTTATGGTAATTTAAACTTAGGATCTCTAGAATAAGATGCTTGCCATCATGTACTTCTAGAAATGTTTTACCTTTAAATAGACCTGCAACTGTTTTGAACTTTGGCTGACTAAACCATAATTTGGTGTCAAAGTCAATGATTTAACTTAAGTTGATATTGAGAGGATAAATAGTAAACTGCATCCATTCAATGGCAAATGTCAATGAAGTGTACCAGTATATACAGTCCAGAAGTTTGTCGTGTACTTGTATGTGTACAAGTAATCTTTAGGTCTTGAGGTGATGAGAACACCTATAACAAATATCTACACAATTATGTAGTTGACATTCTTTATTAGCAATAAAGGACTTGGTTCTTTATCTATTAAACATCTCAACAAATGTCTGTTTGTCACCTGGTTATTGTCTTTCTACCTGTCATTTTGAAGAAATTATGATTTACCCTCTAGATATTTGTTATCTGTTTGCTAGTTCAAAATAAAAGCGTTTATGATGCTTGATAAAAAATGCTAATGCATTGATCTGACTGTCACAGAATATGGAAGAAGTTTTCAGGTCAATTTGAAGCCCATAAATTCTTTATAGAACTACAATGAATCAGTGTAAAAAAGAAAAGGTCAGATTAGTTTGCTTTCATACATCTGATATATAAAATATAGGCCTCTGTCATTCTTTTTTTTTCTGGTCTCCAATAAAACTTAGTTGTTTGTCCCTATCAAACTTTTTGCTTATTTTGTGCCTTTCAAGTTAGGAATGTTCCTTCTTGAGAAGATGTTGATTTAATTCCAGAGGAAACAGGAACTTATTATGTGCTATCTCATACTGTTGAGAGGTAATGTCAAAGTAAAGTCAAACTTGGCATTGGTGCATCAATTTTTTACTAATGAAAACCTAAAAGTACTCTCTGATTTCTGGCCAAACAAAACTGCTGAATGTTACTTGTTGCAACCCATTAATGGCACATCTTTGTTCATTTTAATTAGACAACAAGAGAACATTTATTTTTATGTGATACATGTCCAAGTATGAGGTTCGATTAGACTGATCATGACCAGCTATAATTCTGTGCTATAACCTGTGAATAAACTGGAAAATGATCAAGGGATATAATATCTTCCATGTTTAGTCTATCATCTCATTGATGCTTGTCAAGGCAAACCATGAAACCTGAGTATTTGGGACATATATATTTTAACACACATGAATATGCTGCATACAATCCTAGATGACATATGACATATATATAATATATTCTCCTTTAGTACAATTTTCAGGACATGAGTTCCAGTAGCATTGTTTGTTGTGGATATATGGTTAGCAGATAGAAGTACTACTTTATTCTCTTTCTGTAGCTCTACTCTAAAAGGATATGCTTGTAATGTCAATGGATGCCTATCTGTTGTTCTTTATTTCATGTAATGTAATTCATTTCTTGGAATCTAAATCAGACTCCCCCCATTCATCAGATAGAAATTAAAAGCTGAAGTCACGCTTGATGTCAGTGATAACTTTTAAATCCAAACTATGTAATTTCAAATGAACTCCTTGTTCATCAATCACTTTTGTAATTTCATGTACCGATAATGTATCGGTTAGGGTTCGGATCGGAGTAGTTTCGTATTGCATTTGATGCATTGGTACATACCAAGTTTTGAAAAAAAACCTAAAAATCAGTTTCAAAAATAAAAATCGGATACAAAACTTAACTTATGTCATTATATGATAGATAATGTCTATACCAAATCATATTATAAACCTTGATTTACAAACATTAATTTAAAGCAAAACTATAATTTTTCTCTGCTTGTCACATATTTATAGGATTAAAAAGGTTAAAAGGTTAACCTTAGGCACCTCTAGAGAAGATGCATCAAGTTACATATGAAGCTTCAGCTTGTAATTTGCTGAAAGAAAAAGATGAGGTCTCAAGTTGTAAAGGATGAAACCCTTAAAACACATGAACTAGATGGAAGCTGTATGATCTTTATAGTTAATTTCTCATCTCACACCATCCAAAGACATCCACACCCAACACACCATTAGAATTATCCTTGACAGATAAAACACCATACGATCATTACACAACACTGTCACATCTCTCTCAGATGACACTACAATTCTTACAAACCCACAATCTCTGTGAAGTTTTGAGGACATAAAAGACTCCCAACAGCTGAGCAGGCACTGAATCAAGAAGGTGGCAGAACAACAGAAACAACAACAACATGATATCATCAGTGATGTGTAGTTTGGGGTTGCCTGAATGACCCACCTGCATACAGCATCTGATACACTGGTCTTATTCTCACTGTCAATATTATGGTCAACAAGGTTCCCAGGCTGCACACCCCTGCAAGAATGAAGAATGTGAGCCTGAAGCAGCTTGGCCCAAAGCAAGAAGTGTTTGAATGGTGGAGGAAGCCCAGTTGCTGCTCTGCTGCTTCTTTGTCATACAAGTACCCTGCAAGAAGACCTGAGAACAAGAATGCACCAAGAGGATTCCCGAGCAGCATGAAGTTGAAGAAGGTCCCGAAATGCTTCAGCCCGAAGAGCTCAGACACGGTCGGAACCATGATGGAAGTTTGGACCCCATAGCAGATGCCGAGCATGGCAGTTGAGGCATTGAGAGTGCTGCTGAGACCCAGGGCATATAAAAGGTAGGCTATGATCATGATCATCTGTGTGCATGTCATCCAGATCGGCCGAGGAAGCATTCTCGTCCTGCAACAAGAACAAGAAATTGACTTGTCATCGAGCCGCACTGTTGATTTGATTCATAATTGCTTGATAATTTATGACATCCAATGCAAATCATATGAGCCTCTTTCAACACTCACCTGACGAAATACTCGGAAACAGCACCTCCACCGAGGCGACCAAGAAAATTGCCAAAGCTGAAGAGGCAGAGTAAGATGGTAGGATCATCGATTCCAGCTGCAGCCCCAATCTGTGCCAAGTTATTCAGAACAGTGACACCTGAGCCAGCACCAATGAAGAAGGCCGCAAATAGAAGCCAGAAATCAGCTTTCACCAAAGCTTCTTCCAACTCGAAGTCATCTCCTCTCTTGGGCTTCCTCTTCTTCTTTACTGCTCCTTCCCCTACAGCCAGGAGCATGTTCACATCAGAACCATCATCAGGCTCCTGCAACTTCTCCAAATTGTTTGTCGTCGACGACGAAGCCAACAAAGGTTCTGCCTTATCTTCTGAAGAACTACTAGTGTGTTTAGGCTTGGTCCGGAAAAAAGTCATCTTAATTGGGATGGCAAGTGGAGCCAGGAGGAAGAGAACCATGACACCGAAGAGAACACTGGTAATGCCATCACTCAGTTGAACATGATTGCTGACAATGGTGAAAGCAAGAAGGTAGAGACCAAGAAGTATGCTGGAAACTTGAGTGAACAGGAAATGGCACCGCTCCGACGAGTCCTCTGCAAGAGATGGTGTGCAAGGGCGGACAAAGTACATCATAGCGAGGCACATAACAGGCAGTCCGATGGCCAGGAACAGCAGCAGGTTTGTCGATGAGCTGCGAAGCATGCCGGTGTACAACCCAGTGAACACCGAAGCACTAAGGCCGACATAGCCTTTGAGGATGCCGGAGACTGTGCCTCTGCTGAGGGGGAAGTTCCGCATGTTGGTGACCAGCACAGCCGTGACCAGCCATGCACTGCTGTTGGTACCAATACAAAGGGCAATCCACAGCTGAAACAAAGATGCAGATATCCTTACAGAGAGTAGTGAGGTTTTAAGATAAAGCAATGTGATCAGAGGAAAAATGACTCCACAATAAATAACATGAATCACAACTGTGATCAGATCTATCATCATTCATTTCCATGTAAAATTCTCTGAATATTCAAGAATCCCATGTTAATGTTCTTGAATCTAACTACAAGATTGGTGTCCTCAAGCTACAGAAACTTTGCTCGAACTCAGATCCATTTCGGGGGTTAGGGCTTGGCATGTGCCCTAATTCACATGGATTGTAATGAAGAGTTCCCTGATGCTACTTGTAATGGTTTTGTTTATCGAAAGGTCTTTCTTTTCTGCTCCTCATAAAAAGATCAGCTTTATATGGGAAGAGATTACCCTGAAATCTTGCTTCCCAATAATTTGCCCTAAAAATCCTACTTTCACTACGACTTACTACCGATTTGGTGCAGTGATCAGCTTGATGAAATCAATGGGAAGCATAACTTGGAGAAATCTGAAGCTGTTGTTAGCACAGTGGGGGGTTGTTGTGGGTGGGGGGGGGAGGCGGGGGGGGAGAGGA